TATAAGAGTGAAAGGAGACTCTAAAACAACTCATCCCCAATCATGGAATATCCAGGTACACAGAATAAGCCTTGATCTCCACTATATCTATCTATATATTTATGCACATCTATTAACACTGGTGGTATGGGTATTTCTTCATTAAATTTCTTTTCCTTTGCCCAAAATACTGGGCACTACAAGTGAAAGGAGCAGTTTGTTAAGGCTCACAGTTTTCAGCCAAGAAGCAAAGAAAGAGGAGAGAATACATCTGTGCAGTGTTTCTTCACTCATCCCACCCCACAATTTACCCATGCTCCTCCTCTAAATGGAGAGTTTTGGTGGGACATTTTTATGTGAATTATAACTTTTGGTCTCTCCAAGAGAAAGAGAAACAGTAACGGAGATATTTTAAAGAATTAGGTCATATGACTGTGGTATCAATCATATTTGAACTCTGTGGAGCAGGCTAGCAGTTTGGAAACTCACACAGTATTTCTTCATTTGTCTTAAGATATGTTACCTTACTGATTGTTAAGATTACACATATTGGTTGGGAATTCAATAGGATATTTCCTGACAATGAAACAGTGCACACCCATCAAATCCGGCCTTGCTTTACCCTCTGCCTCACACCCTGCCCATTGTCTGGTAAACTGACACAGCTTAGGCTCTTCCTCTTTGCCTTGTGACTTAACCCTGGAAATCAGTGGAAGAGAGAGACACAGCAAAGCCCAGCAAAACACACCTGAGCAACTAAATATAAACAGCAAAACGTGAAGAAGCCATGAGATGGAGGGCAGGTGGCTGATCTGGGAATTGTGTTTGAATGGGGTAGGGGAGTTTGGGGTCTACACTGTGGACTGCCCAGGTTGCGCGTCACAGTGTGAGTTGAGAGAAAAATTTAAAATTCCTGCCTCTACACTGCTGTACATTCTGAGGCAGCACATTATACCAGAGATTCCAAGGACCTGCATGTAGCTCAAGGACAGCAGGAAACTGGAGACAGGCTAGCTGCAGAGACTCCACTACTAAGCACCTGAAATCAGCCTGGTGGCTGAGGACAACTTTCAGCACAACTGCTAATTAAGACAACATAGAGAATGCATGAGACATAGGAAAGAAAGTACAGATGTGATCATGCATGGCAAGTGTAAATATTATACAGTCCAATAAGAGTCTCATTCCTTCTGCCACCAGGAACCCTGGGGCTCAGAGTCTTCCTGTGAGGAGAACATTCTCAGGTCCATGAAGGACAGTGGTCTAGGCTGAGCCAAGACACAAAGTGAACACATTTATGGGGACAAGCGTAACTTAGAGGGTATTGTTATTTCTCTTCTGTTGCACCTCAGGCATAATGATGAATGTGATGTCCCTGACAACTGTCTCTTGGGGATATGAGAGGTGGTCTTGTTCTGAGGGTGAACTTCAGGTGAGAGGAGTGGAGGGGGTGCCTACACTGTTAGGGGTGCAGGAAAGCAGAAGGGGAGGTGTGAGCCCCATCCCTGACAAACTCTTACCAAATAATCCACATGTGCTGTTTTTTCTTTCCCGCACTGCCAGGCAGGATTTTCAAGGGAGATGGAATTGCTACTCATGAGAGCTTGAGACTCAAGTCCTTGCTCTGAGAGGAAGAAACTCAGGTCCACAGAGGACAAATCTCCAGGTTTTACCAGGAACTAAGCAGATGATTCCCATCTGGATTGGTGAGATGAGGTACTAGCATTCCACCCCTGCTGTTAGCCCCCAGATGTCTGCATGATGTGGGTTCCAGTGCCTCTGCCTCATTGGGTTCAAGCTAAAGAAGGCCTGTTGGGATATTTAAGCTTCAGGAGAGAGGACTGAGTAGGCAAGGTTATTTGGGGTTCACTGTGTTGGGCAGTAGGGTGTGCTATAGATGTCCCAACACAGAGAGAGGGTCCCCTAACTCTGAAGATCTTCCCCTTTTGTTATCCCCGGACCACATAGGAGCAGATTAGTTAGAATGAGCTTAGCCTCAGGTTATCCAGGAAATAGGGGCTTGGACAGTGGGGAACAGAATCATGTCCTTAGAAGACTGCAGAACAGGCTATGACATGAACCCAGGAGTTGATCCCTAGGGAGGAGGGAGGAGCCTAAAGAATTCCTTTCTCCTCCTACTGGGAGACCCCGTGCACTCTGCCAGACATGATATATGGTCACTGCCTCCGCTTTGGGTCAGTGCGACGGGAGATCCTCCTCTGAGCTGTGCACTTCAGGTGAGCAAGCAGAGAGGGTCGGGTTCGGTTAGGGGTCATGTTCAGGCATTGTGGAGGGAGTGAGGAAGCCCACTTCAGAGAAAGGGATTTTGATAAAACGAGATTTCCAGTGTTGTTGTCCCAGAACTGCAGGGAACAGTTCTCTGGTGAGGGCCACATTTTACCCCAGGAATGAGCAGTGTAGAGTCCCAGCCTTGTGCTGAGGGTCTGCCTTCAGACAGGAAGAATAGAGAGTAATTGGGTTTACTTAGCTCAATGTGAAGACTGAGGGAGGACTGAGGAAGCCCCATTTCAGAAACAGGGTCCCAGAACTTCCATTTAAGTCTCTTATGCCTGGCTCGAAACAGGAGGTGCAGAATTTTCAGGAGACAAATCCCTTCCTGGTCCATGAACACTGAGACTAAATCAGAGCCTTGTTCTGGGGGCTAAACTTCAGGTGAGGGGCAGAGAGAGCCTGGGATCAGTTAGATCAAGCTGAGCACCTATCGAGGGTACTCATGAATCCTCACTGTTGTGGGCCTATGTCTGAATATTCCATTTATAGCCTCTCTTGTGGAATGTACAATTCACAGTGCATAATTCTCAAGAGAGCTCCCCTTTGTTCTCCAGTGTGAACTCAGCTTCAGAGACTTTTACTTAGGACAATGCTTAAGGTGAGACAAACAAAAAGTCTGGGGTCAGGAAAGTAACGGAGCACTGGATCAGGGAAAAATGTCTCAGGGACTCAACCTCATTTCACCAAGAGAGGAGAGTCAAGATATGTATCTGAGGTTTATGCTTCAGGTAGGAGGAGCAGCGAGGACCTGGGCTGAGTTAGGTCAAGAAGAGGCCCTGAGATTACAGTCAGGAAGCCCAAGTCAGGGAGAGGGTCTGGAAGAACCCAGATCTGCCTCTGTTTACAGCCCAGCAACCTTGGGAGGAGGGAGTCAGACAATCAAAAGTTTTTGCCTCAGGGCACCTTGAGAGCAGAGACAGCCTTGTCTTGAAACCTGTGCTGCAGGTCTAAGGAGAAGACAGGCCAGGTGGGGGATGGGGTGAGTCTCAGATCCCATAGAGTTTCCTCAGCTATTCCAGATTCGCTTCTGTTGACACACACAAAGAAGACAGGACCCACACCACAAGGGGGAAGATATGATAGGGTCAGCGCCCCAGCCATGCCTGCCCAGCTGACCTGGGAGTCAGAGCCCTGTCCTGAGGTGATCATTTCAGGTGGGCTGCGAAGACAGGACTGGAGATGGACTGGCTTAAGTTGAGGAACTGAGTTAAGACAGGAAGACCCATTCCAGTTTGAGATTCAGAAAATATCCCTTATCTGCCTCTCTTGACAGCCCTGCACTGCCCAGTGGAGAATCCTCAGGTGAGCACCCCTTTGCCTCAAGAAACCTCTGCAGCTCAGAGTCTGGTTCTCAGCTTAAGGTAAGAGCAGTAGAGACAACCTGGGCTCAGCTAGGTCCAGATGAGTGCTGTGGGGTAAGGGCAGAAGCCCTGAGCCAGGACGTGGGTCCTCCCAAAATGCATACCTGCCTGGGTTGTGAGCCCGGTACCTGTGACACACTCACTAGGCCACTTCACTTCCATTCTCCAGGCCTATCATGACCTTTCTGCCTTAGACATCCCGAGGTGTCAGACACTTTGCTCAAAGTGGAGCACCATGGGCTTGATACAGGATATGAGAACTTGGCTTTAGGAGAGAACAAACTGCATTCCCATGTATAATCTGTGGAGGAAAACTCAGCTCAGGGAGGGGTGGGGCTGATTCCAGGACTCAAGGGGAGGACTTTCCCATGCATGTGAGGGACATTGCACCCAACATCAGAGGGTGACCTCCACCCAGATGTCAGTGCCTGGGGCATGCAGTGCACCTTTACCCACACATGTTGGTGTCAGGCAGGAGTGGACCTTCTCTAAGGAATGTGGCCTCAGGTCACCAGATTCAAAACATGAGAAGGTGGCCCCGATGGCAGTGTAGGGTGGCCAAAGGCCAGACAGCAGAGAATACTCACCTTGGCCAATACTTCCACCTCTGCTGTCCTATTGAAATGCTGGACCTGATTTTCCAGTAGCATGTGCAGGTGGACAATGGGGAAATAGGCATAGCTGGGCCTGCACCATGTAAAGGGGAGACGCTCGATTCTCCTCTTCTGTCAGTCTGGGGAAACCCTTACAGAGATGTCCAGATGTGCTGCAATTTTTTCTCCCTAGGCTCAAGGAGGTGGCCTTGCTGTGAGGATCTTGACCTGTGAAAGACAAGTCCTTTGGGAAAGGGAGCAGCCCAGAGTCAGCTGGGAATCAAGGAGAGGAACCCAGGTGAGGAGGGAAGACTGTTTACACTGGTGCATGTTTGTAACAGGTAATGATTACATTCATGTGGAAATTGCTACCTGTGCCAGATGCATGTCCATTCTTTTTATTCTATTTCTGTCCTCCCTCTTGCTTCCTGCATCAATGGGAAAAACAAACACATGTGTGTGCTTGCATTATACATATTTAGAGTACATAACTACCACATTCCTCAGAATTTTGTCATTTTTTTCTTATAGTACTCCTCGCTTTCCCTGCTCTTTCCACTTGCAGGCCCCTGCCTGGGACTCTGTCCCCTGTTATTTCCTGTGAAAAGACCCTATAGACAGAACTTCACACTTCTCAAAGTGGAGACCTATCATAGGCCTTTGCAAGGGTCTACAAGTCTGTGATTCTCAGCTGAGGACACTAATAGACTCCCTCTCTCCTCCAGGGATCTGACTCCTGAACAACAAGGTCTTGCTCTCATCAGAGAACATCATGATGCGTCGCAGTGACAAAAGACAAGATACAAAGCTTGGGGGATGCCATCCTGACCACACTAGTGCACGTGCCCTCATGGATGTACAGGATCCCAAGGATGAGGAGGGAGCAGCAGCCACTGCATCCTCTGCATCCTCTTCCTCCTGTGCTTTACTTGGGGCTACATCAAGGAAAGAACCTGAGTGTGGATCACCAAGTTGTCCTCAGGATCCTAAGAGCTCCTTTCCCCCCACTGCTGTGGCTTCCAATGTAGGCAGTCAGTCTTGTGAGGGCTCCATCAGAGACGATGATGGTCCAAGTACATCACAGGGGAAGGAAGCCCCTCGAGTCAGGCAGAGTGTGTTTGTAAATGAAAAATTAGATGATATTTTGCTGTTTCTGCTCCAAAAGTATCAAAAGAATGAGCAGATCAGTCCAGAAGAAATGCTGCACATTCTGGGCGGTGATTACAGTGATCACTTCCCTCTGATATTTAGGGAACTCTGTCAGTGTATGCGTTTGGGCTTTGGCATTATTATGAGGGAAGTGGGTTCCCCTGGCCTTGCATATGAACTTGTCCCTGTCTTGGGGCTCACTTTTAGTGGGATGCTGGATGATGTTGACCAGATTATTCCTAAAGCGAACCTCCTGATACTCGTCCTGAGTGTCATCTTCCTAAAGGGCAACCGAATCAGTGAAGAGCACTTAAGGGAAATTCTGAGATTTAAGAAGATGTTAGCTGAGAGGGATCATGTTATTTTTAGGGAGCCCTGGAAATTCATCACAGAGGATTTGGTTCGGGAGGAGTATCTGGTGCGCCAGCGGATTCCTAACAGTGATCCTGCTCGCTATGAGTTCGTGTGGGGTCCAAGGGCCCATGCTGAAACCACCAATCTGAAAGTTCTGGAGCATGTATTCGTGCTTGAATGTTCAGATCCCAGGTCTTTCCAGCATTTCCATGAGTAAGAAAACTATGGAGTAAGAAAAACTATGGAGTGCCCTCAGGTGCAAGATGGGTGACAGTAAGAGGGGTGTTCCACCAGAGAGTCACAAAATTAATTCCCACCCCTGTGAAATGAGGTGCATTCTCTACCTGTGTTTATGGTTCCCTAAGTAGTTAAGGGACAGGTGAAGGGGTAAAATACCATGCATAGCATCTTAATGTCTCTTCTATTTGTGCTACTTGGAGATTCAGCAATATTATCTTTATGAATTTTGAAATCATTTTACTTTTTTGAGTGACAGAAGTAATTAAAAATGTGATTTGAAGACCACGTATGATCTCACATCTATTTTATCTTTTCTGATATTATTTGTTAATTGTGAATTCTAACACACAAGTGATTTTTTGACATTGATCACAAATAGAATTTGTTTTCAAATTGCAAATTTAAGAATTTTCCTGTTTTGTCAAACAAAGAGGGAATTTTTCTAATGTCATTTATGATGAAATTAGGTTTGCATAGGAATTTTCTTGGTTATATGTAAGAAGTTTGCATGCATTTAAACGAACCAAACAGGAGATGGACCCATAAAATCAATTCTCAAATTTCCTTTTCCCATTCTTTATATCATATATTACTAAAATGTATGTGTACCTGAATCTACATTGTATCTTTAATTGTATTTGTGAAATTACTATTAATAAAGAAGCCCATTTGCTCATGGACAGAGTGACCCCAAAACTCTTTTTTAATAGTATATGATGAACTTTTTGGGGAAAGTGAATGGAGAACAGAAATGGTGGAACAGTGACAAGAATAGTTGCTGGGAGACAGAAAGAGCCCCGAAAGGCTTGGCAAACAGCTCATCTTTCAAAGACAGTTCTTTTTGAGCAAAATCCTGAGGCAGGGACTACATGGTGGGAACCGTGCTAAACAAATATGATGCAAGCACAGTCACTTAGGTGATGTTGGTGTAAGGGTAGCAAGGGTAGAGCAGTGCCACCCTTGGCCTTGGTAAGCAACCTGCAGTCCTAGTTTTGTGTTCAGTCTTAGCAGTATGAGTTATGATCTTAGTCTTAACCTTAGTCTTAGTGGTCTTGGTGATGTTAGGTGGGAAAGGATGTCTAATTGGATAATGGGGAATCTTAGAAGGGTGAGGCCAATAATCCCTACCCTGCCTTCATTCCTTAGGGAAGTGTGCAAAGTTAGCTATTGGGACTTTCATCTTCAGGGGCACCTCCGGCTGCATTTGTGGTACATTCTTCAAACGTCGAGGGCCCAGGCTACTGTAATTCTACTTGAATTATCTGTCTACAGTATTCCTCCTTTCAAAAGGTATCCCCCACTTTAGATAGGAGGAAGGAGCCTAGTTTGCATCTAAATATTTCAAGCTGAAAAATTTGTCAGTGTAGGGAAACCATGGTCAGAAGCCTTCTGCAGAGAGCTACTGTAATGGGCCTCAGAGAGAACTCATGGGATAGTTTGGCACCTGAGGTCACTTCACAAGGTGGATCTGGTGGATCCTAGAAAAGGAGTCAGACACAATCGTCATTGGTCCCATCTGCAGGATTGCTTCCATTTTGGCAGCGTCTAGGAAAGATCAACCAAATTTTCCCAGACCCTACCTATGTATCATCAAAACAAAGAAACTAGGAGGGAAAGGCAAGCTGAGGAAATAGCCACATTCGGAAACTGTTCTTAAGGGGCAGGAGAAGCGATTGTTGGCCCTTTGGTAGCGCTGGTCAAGGACTTCCCTCCAGTTTAGCTGTAGGGAGGTGGAGACAAGGAACTTAGAGACTCTGTGGAGCTATTATAGATACAACTGTAGTTCTTTTCTGTTTTCATAAAGGATATTTGCCAGTTATTGGTGTATCTGGAAAGTGCCAGAGTGGGGCAGTGGTTGAAGCCACTTTTAATATCTAACTGACATTACTCTGGCATTGTTTTTATACTTCCTTGTGTAACACTGTTCTGCTGGGTGTTTCAGACCAAAATGAAAGGAGAGCAATGTAAAAAGTAACTTCTTAGTGTTTACCAAGTGGAGTGAAGTCTCCTCAGGCAATGTTTTGGACCCATGTTCAGAGCCTCTCATCTCATCTGCCAGTGTCAGCCATCGGAATGGGTCATGGCATTGCTTGGCCAAATTGCCTTGTATGAAAGCAAGGGACACTGTTCCCACTTGGTGTCCCTCCATTGGCACATTTCACATGCATTCATTTTTATCCTCTGTGGTCCAGCCATCTCCCTGCTCAGGTGGTTGGAGCGTCTTCTACAAACTTGTGCGATACTGACAAATATTGCAGGATCCTGTAGAAAGGTTCCTTCATATCCTTGGCCCTCATTAACATTTGAGGACCAGCTACAAAATACTGACTCTACTTTTAGCCTACATACCATTTAATTCTGATCTCTGATCTTCAGCTGGTGACCATGCAGAAGAGATTACCAGTGACATTAGTAATGCAGAGGGAGCAGTGAGCTTCACAGTTGTAATCTCACCTGAATACGAAGTATTTGATATGCAATATAGGGACTAGGACTGTTATTCCTTAGCAGACATGGTGGTTATAATAATCAAATCCATTCAGAATGTTATAACGCAACCGTTGTATAGTTTAAGGAGAAATCTGGAAATCAAAGGCTACATATTATAATTCTGCATGATAAGCACAATATTATCTTGTAAACACACTTAATAACCATTTTAGGATTGAATGACTTTTTTCATTAAGCATCTCCCTTTGATCACATGACATTAAATGATACAAAATCCTCCCACCTAATTTGCTGTCCTTAAATAGGATGTCATTGAAGGAGAAAGCACTGTTTTATAAATGTGCCTGAGCAGTTTAGAACTTCTATCCTCTAATATTAGTGTGTGACATTCTCTTGATCATTTGGTACCGAGGATCCTTAAGTTTAGTGACATAAAATACACAAAATCTTTTAAAATTGATAATCTGGTTGATGATCACTTGCTGGTTTGACATGTACCTCTTATCACAGGTAACTGGAGCATAGGGAAAGAAAAATATCTAACTATAAAAGAGGTTAATATTATTGACAATCTTATTTTTCCATCTTAGAAGACTTGTACATCAGGAAGAGGAGAATACTTTTGGTATTCCATGAGACTGACAATTATGTGTGTCATAGCTCTATGGCAACCAGTGTCTCTTAATTTAGTTTTGTAACAAGAGAATGTTTTCATGACAAAATCTTATTATTTTACCCACAGAAACTTGAATCTTTCAGTGATAATCTATAATATGTATAATGCAGTAATACGCTCACAATAGTTTATTGGGCTTTGTGATCCATAAAACTATGCAAATTATTGGGTACATCAGTTAAAAATGCCTAGAAGACAACATATCAAGGAAACTATTTCTTTAGTCACCAAGGAGTCCTTACTAGCAGTAAAGGTAAGACCATGTTGACCTCATCTATTTATCATGAGAAATTTTTGACCATCAATGCAAAAATGATCAAAAACATGTATGATTGATCAATGAGTGAGTTTTTTAAAAAATTTTTAACCCATATTGGTGAATAGTAAGAGCTTATACCAAATTTGCTTTTTTAATGGGAGGTAACACTTTCCCCTAAAGGGACAGATTGTTAAAGGGAGTTTGGAACATGTTTTCATTTAAAACTCTTGTGGAACTCTAAGGTCACCTTCATATGTTTGATAGTATCAGTGAATTTATCTTGGCTATAAAAATCGCTCAGTCTATCCTGTGCTTTACAAACGAGTCAGTAATATGATTAGTAGTTGTATTACTGTGAATCAAAGTCAGGAAATCACCTGACAGGCACGAACTGTGCTGCTGAGCTATATTCCCAGCTCTGTAATATACTTAAAAGGGAGAGAAAAGCGGAATTAAACTCCAGTTTTGTCTAAGGATTAAAAGGATGATAAATTTCAAGTAAAATCTTACATTTATTTTTTGAGAGCTTTAAGATATAATTTAAATCAGGTTTTTAAAAAAATTATTTAAAAGGAAAAAGAGAAAAAACAAAACAAAACAAAGTGGTATAAGGGTACAAGTCATACAGAACTACAAAAAAAAAAAAAAAAAAAAAGCAGCAAGAAATCACCAGTTAATAGATTACACATTATCATCTTAGAGATAGTTGCTCAAGTCACAGTATCAAAGCATACAAAATGGACATTCAAACAGTAAGACTGCAAACAGTTGTGTTCAATGATCCAACCAAAAACATTAATACAGTCATCTATTTAACACCCCTAAACACACTTGCAGTTGTATCCCTTTTGGTACTTTTTTCCCTCTCTTTTTTACAACAAAATGTACACATTTTGGGTTTTATTACTCCTTAGTTCTTATTATTTTGGGGGGGAGAATAAAGTCAAATATGGCAAAACAAAGCTGTCAGTCAAAACCAAGGATAGACATAGCACATGATGTAAAACAGAGTACAAGGTTATCAACAATGGTTACCATAATACCTCTTGCTTCCTTAAAAAGAATTGTCTATCTCATTAGGTATTATAAAGTTGAACAAAACAGTAGCGAACAAGACCAATAAAACCTAAACCTTGTAAACATTACAGGACTTCCAAAGGAGATAATAATCAAACCAGAATGGGCATCATAGTGAATCTTACTGCCTTCAAAGTAGTTGCCTATACCCTCAAACTTGATACAATCATACAGAACGGAAAAGAGTCTAATCAGTCAAAACAAGATATTGGGACTATTACAGGACTTCAAATCAAGTTAATAGGAAATCAAAAAAGTTACTATAATATATCCTGCTAATTTTCTTTATTTTCCCCCTTAATTAGAAAAATCATAAAAAATAACTAAATAATTTTTTAATGAATAAGGAAGAGATTGAGATAAAAGAGGACATAACAACATAACAATACAGGTCAAAGCATGACTGTGCTTCACCACCAAATAACCTGACTTAACAGTAGTTAACATAGTGTCTTTTTCCATTTTCCAAATATTTGAATATAACTTCATATACTATAGCTTCAAATAATTCCAT